GTGAGTAACTCTTCAAAATAACCGAACTAAAACAAAAAGCTTTTGTGAAAACAACTAACTAAAATCATAATTAAAAAATATTAAACTAATAAATGTTTTATAAAATGTAAATTACATTATGCAATACATAGATCAGAATACAACACCAAGGACGAACATCTAAAGACAAAACGACCCCACTACACTCGAGAGAGAATGGCCAACCACAATCGATATGCCACTCACAATCACAACTCAAAGGATTTAGAGTACGACTTGACTTCGCAGAAAAGGACTTCATTGAACTAGACCAATGACCACCTCGATGTTCAAGTATACGTACAGATCCGAGTAACCAGGCATCCCCTCCACGCACAATCTCCACGCCATTCCCAAACTAGATCAGACACAAAAGAAGTTCTCCACGCAGAACAGAAAAACCTGACATAGCCAACCATTCTGAAATCAGATTTGAGTTTGTTGCAAAGACTTAGTCGTTGTCACTAGAAGACACAACGTCTTATGTCTCTAACTCCAGCTTCCTGGAACTTCTTTAACAAAGAGGAAACGGAAGAAAATGATGTTCGCCAAAAACCAACGTCCATCATCCATCCTTCAAATTGCAGAAGAACTATTCTAAAAAACTCTGTAAAACCCGGATGGGTGGAACCTGATCTAAACTACATTTTATGATTGGATAATTTAGATATTTTACCAATGTAAAGTATTTAATATTAACCAATCATGATCCATCTAACTAACAACCCACTTATTTGTAAGTGCTGAAGTTACTTGTAATTTCAGCACCAGAGAGATTTGAATTTAACTTAGAAATTAGTTGGACTCTCCCGAGCACTTCAGCAGCCGCAATAAACCAGTATACCCTAGATCTATTGAGCCTAGCAGAGACTAGTTAAACAACCTGAGACTAGATAGTATAAGAGTAAGATTAGGATCGGTATTAGACTAAGAAGTTGCACGAATCTATCCGGCCGAAAATAAGATAGCGTGACGAGCAGACGGTGTACCCTATCCGAAATTACTCTATGAGTTAACCAAACTCGGTCCTAACTCAGAATCGTATTTTACTTTTGTTGGCAAACGCCGAAAAACAAGCTCACATTTTCACAATTAGATCTCACTAGATTTTGTTTGCAGATTTCTGTTCAGGGGCGGATCTAGGATTTTCTCGAGGGCGGGGGGGCGGATTTTCAAAAAATTTTCGAAAATTTTGACGACCTTTTTTTTGTAGGTCGGCCAAATTGGTTTTCGGAGCTCTCCTAAAGCACTAAAAAGACGCTGTTTTGATCAAATTTTCTGCGCCGCAGGCACTTTTTGGAAAATTTACACAAAAAAATCGCGTTTTTGTGGCGCGCGCTCCCCCTCAAAGTTAGTATATATTGGCGCCAAATGCGCCTTTAGAAAAATTAAGGGTCCGTCACTAAAAACGGATTTCTGGAAAAGTACCAAAGGGGGACTCTTTGGGTCGACATGGGGTCGAATCCCTGAAGGAGGGGGGCGTCCGCCCCCCATGCCCCCCTAAATCCGCCCTTGTTTCTGTTGTTGTTCCGACTTTCGTTACAAAAATATTGGTATATTTGTGCTCGGGTGGTTTTTTCTTCAGATAAATTTCGAGTTTTTTGACAAAAAATATATATACCATTCCAAAGGTAGTTTAATTTGAAGAGCTTAATTTAAAGAGCTCTAAATTTAAATTTAAAGAGCTTAAATTTTAAAAGTTTTCTCATCTGTAATCTTTTTTCATAATGTTATGGGGGTTTAGAGATTTCCATTTTGGCCAATTTGGGACAATTACCGCGCGATATATTTCGCGCTATTAACGCGTAAGCGGAGATTTAATCCGTCCTGGAAATCGTTCCAAGTTGTTTGAAGGACGGTTATTTGTCATAATTGATTATTTACTAGGAGCGCAATCTATCTCTTTGTTCTTCATATGGCGTTTGGAGTGTTGATTTTCACAAAAAATCTCAAATTTTAAACAAACAATTTTTTAGATTTTATCTTATTGCATTAATGTTTTTCATGTTATTACATAAAAAATTACGTTTAAGTTCCATAGAGCTTAAAAGGCAGTGAAAAGATTGAGGGCTTCGTCCTGATAGAGCAGTCTTGTTGTTGTTTGTAGCTGCAAACAAGAGCAATCGTCAAGTTCCTTTTTTGTTCAGTACACCACAATTAAAAATATGGAAGCCCTGAATGTTCCGACTGCCTTTTAGGGTTTATGGAGCAGTAGATACATGAAAAAATTAATTGTAATAAAACAAAATGAAAAAAAAAGTTTCAAATGTTTGACATTTTTTAATGAAATCATCCCCCCACACGCCATATAAAGTATAAAAGAATAGATTTGGCTACTTTGACAACTCAATTATGGCAAATAAGCTTCTTTCAACCAATTTGGAACGAATTCTAATTCGGATTAAATCTCCGCTTACGCGTTAATAGCGCGAAATATATCGCGCGTTATTTGTCCCAAATTGGCCAAAATGGCAATCTTCAAACCCCCATAAGTTTACAAAAATGATCACAGGTGAAATATCTTTTCAAAAACGGCTAGTTAAAAAGTCGAAATTTGTCTGAAGAAAAAAAATTCACCCGAGCACAAATATTCCGTTACTTTCGTATCGAAAGTCGGAACAATAAACAGTTCTAGGGACCAGTTTTTGGTACATAAAACAGATCAGAATCAAACCCTTTGTCTTGTTCAAGTGGTCAGTTTTTAATTAGTGCGATGAAACGAGAATGTTTCCGATAATGCACCTCGTTTTGTTAGAAAACTCAGCCGTATTTTGACATAAACGGGTTGCCCACAAGTCATCAGAGTGGTCGATTATACTAGGCAATTAAAAAGGTGGTAAACGTCATGTGAAGTATTGGTACAATTTGGGCACTTTTTCCTTTGTTTTATCTATAACCTTGACAGATATCTGTTTAGTAGTCTGCTATAACTGAAGCGAAATTGAGTGTGGGTACGTTATGAATTTCAAGGAAGGCTGCTTTCTTTCAATGCTTTCCTAAGGTTTACAAGGGTAACTTGGAGTATTTCTAGAATGCTATTTTTGAAGTTCAGGAGAGCTCTCCAGCTTATGAAGGTATTAGGAAATTTCTGAAATGCTAATTTTTTGGAGTGCTTATTTTAGAACTTAGGACAGCCCATCAGATTTGGAGGGTGGGTTTACTTAATTAGTATTGATTTTGTCCGAAGTGTCTTCTTATTTTTGGCTTAATGTGTTTCAGCAATGTTCTGTAATGTTTCAGCAATAATAAAAAAATATATATATAAACAGGGGCGGATTTAGGGGGCGGGGTGGACGCCTCTCCCCCCTCAGCAATTTGACCCCCAGCCAACCCAAAATGTCCCCCCTTTGTAGTTTTTTGAGATATCGATTTTTGGTGACGGACACTAAAAATTTTCAAAGGGCTTCTTTGGCGCCAATATATACTAATTTTGAGAGAAGAGCGCGCGCCGAAAAAACGCAATTCAAAAAGTTGCCTGCGGCGCACAAACTTTGGCCGCAACAGCGTCTTTTTACTGCTCTAGGAGAGCTCGGAAAATCAATTTGGTCGACATAAAAAAAGTGAAGATTTTCAAAAAAATTTCGAAAATCCGCCCCCACCCCCTCGAGAAAATCCTAGATCCGCCCCCTGTATATTTCTTTTTTTTTCTAACAAATTATGAAAGTCTCCGAGCAACTCTCCGAAAAATAACTTCGGGTATACTTGAGTGATTCAGCTTGTCTTTTTTTTGTATTCTATGAACTTCCTGTGCCTTGCAAAATGGCTTTTTTTTCAAAAAAAGAAATGATTTTGCTTCCTGATTGTTGCATGCCTCGCCAGAGAATTGACTGACTTAAATTTCAGTCAGGAAATGTATCCTACTTTATGGGCCTGTTATGTAACACCCCTTTTGCAGCAAATAATCGTATACAAACTGCCAGGGTCAAAAACTGAAGATTTACGGGTGTTGGCCTCATAATTAATGATCGTCTCCTTTGTTCTGCATATAAATCATTATTAAAAACAACGACTTACCAATTTTTGAGTGCAGCTTTAAATTATATTTTTGTCAGTTGCCGTCTTTTGTAAAAAAAAAATGAAGCTGCTTATTGTGACCTAAACTTTTCGAAAGTGAGTAATTGAAACTTTCACCCCTTCAGCGACATATTTTTTTGACAGAGAGCGGGTTTTGGGTCTACTAAATAGTTGAAGCCTTTACAAAATTAATCGATTAGTTTAATTAGTTTTCATTATAGCCGACCATTACTGATTTTAAGAACTAAATGTTTCATATCATTTTTGTTCAGCTATCTATACAAAGATTTTTTTTTTCAAGCAATTCTTCGCACGAATTTCTTTTGATGATGAAAAGCAACCAATTTTATGGATCAATTTCCTCTAAATAAGAATTAGTTTTATAACTAACTAACATCATAACTAGCTAACTAGCAAATTATCTTCCTTTGTGGTGGGTGCCCAAAAGTCACCTGAAGTCCATTTCTCAACTCTGGTTGCCCGTTTTTACAAAGGGTATACTCATTTGGTACTAATTTACGACAACCATTTCTGACTGTCCAACTGTCCACTCATAAAAAAATTCGAAGGACGCCTTGGGCGCCCGTATATACTCATTTAGAAGGAAACGACATATTTGGGCAGTAGCGGTTGCGCAACTTAAAAAACGCATTTTTGTCCAAATTTTGATTTCTCAAAATTGCTTTTCTTGTGTTGCCAGCAGGGATGAAAACTTTGCCAATAATGGTCATAATAGTTTGCCAATAACGGTCAAAAGAAAAATACCCAAGTAAAAAAAAACTCCCACGGACACTTCTTATCGAGCTTCTTATTTGGTAACACTCTTTGAAACCCCCTCTTGCTAGAAAGGAGTGTATTTTTTTCTATAAAAAGAGTTTTTTATACTTATTGTAAGAAATCTCCTTATTTAAATGTTAATTAATCCTTTGCTTTATTAGAAATTTATTTTTGACAAGTTAATTTTTCAGGAAATGGATAGCAGCTTGGATTCTCAGCTGAGTAGCCACCTTAAAACTGATCCAAATCCTGGTCAAATCTATTCGGACGATAGGCAACTAGATTGGTCTCAAGTCACGCAAAAAGCAACTGGATCAAACTCTGTGATCTCTTCTGATCCAGGCACCCTTCAAGGAGGAGGAGGAACGGAACATACCTTGGATATGTCCACTGTCAACGTGAGTCTCATCATCACAGTGTCCTTTTTTGGAACTCTGGGTCTAGGAATGGTGGCTGTGATGCTGGCTGGCTTGTGGTTCCGCTTTTGTGGTGCTAAAAAATCTAAAAATCCGTAAGTATTTGTGAAATAAACTTTCAGGTTTGTGCTTTTAGTTAGATACTTCTCTTCTCTGAAATCATCTTCAAACTGAAAAATGTGCTTGTGAAAATTCTTTTTAATTAGGGCTAGCTGAAGCTTGTATGGGCGAGTTATTTTAAAATTGTCCAGATTTAACTTTTCAAAAAACGGGCATATATCCACATTGACGGGCAGCGGGATAAAATAGGATGGTCTAAGAAACAATTTTTCTTCAACGTCAGCCTTTTTGGTTCAGTTTTTATAACGATTTAAGCGCGGGAAAGGACCAACATACGAGCTGTAGAGCTCATCACAGCGAACCGCTGTTGCGCCCCTGCTTAAGAACTACATGCATTTTTTTGGTTATTTTTCAGGGCTGGGTAACGTTGCCTCACCCGCAAGCAACGAGCACGGCTCATGGTGCGCCTCGTACGTCCGACCTTTCGATTGAGAGGCGGAGACGTAACCACTTCACCACCGCTCCCCGAATTTGAAACGTTTCAATATTATTGCATCAGTAGAGCTGAGCTGAGCTGATCTCATCTTTTTTTTTCGGGAAAGCTGAAACAGAATGGGTGGGTAAGAGTAAGAGACGCATTGCATCAGTTCTAAGCCAGCTCGTTCCGCTTCATGCCGCCGTCCTTTATAAAGAGCGATTTGTGAAAAAAAGCTATTTTGTTAGTGGTAATCAAATTCACGAACAACAGAAATAAAACTGCTCGTATCAGGGTGAAGCCCTGATAGTTTCAACTACCTTTTAAATGATTCGAGTAGTGTTATCTTTAAAAATTGATGAAACTTTCAAAAAAATATCTTTTTTCTTGCGTTTTTTTTTAAAATAATTGCCTCACACGCCATATAAAATCAAAATATATATTTTGCCTAAAAAGTATTAAGCGCTCCAAATGGCATAGCTCAGTCTTTTTAGAACTATTTGTAAGAAGGACTAAATCTCCGCTTACGCGCGAAATATATCCCGCGTTGATTGTCCCAAGTTGGCCAAATTGACCATTTTGAACCCCATAACTTTGCAAAAAAACAATCATAGGTCAAAAATTTTTAAATAAGTTTGCACTTAGTACAACAATACCTTTCGGATGATAAAAACTCCCTCGAGATTGGCTAGTTAAAAACCGAAATTTGTTTGGAGAAAAAAAACCGCGAGCACAAATATTCCGCCACTTTCTTCGACAAAAAATAGTCTCAAAGGGAATTAAGTAGGGGATATTGTAGAATTGTATATTTTATATGTATGATAACAGAAAACTGATAACATTTTAAGAGCAACAGGAAGCTTTCCTAGTAGCAAACATGCTCAAAACATTCGTGTTTTGCAAAAAAAAATAAGAAGAGAAACTTCTTGTCGGTTTTGGTAATTTTTTTTGAAAAATGATTTCGACTTTCCAAAGAGATGAGAATGGAAAAAAATTTTATATCTGAAGAGATGAGAATGGAAAAAAACTGTAGCACAACCTTTGAGAGATAAAACAAAAATGAAAAAAGTAAGCTGCGTGAATTTGTTTTGTTATTATAAAAACAAACATGTGTGACCAGCATGAATTTAAATGCAAGCAAGGGCGGATCTAGGATTTTTTTGCGGAGGAGGTGGGATTCTCAAAAAAAGTCAAATTTTGTCGACTTTTTTTAAAGGTTGACCGAACTGATTTTACGAGCAAAATTTTGAAAAAAGAAAACAATAAATTAGAATGATTTTGAAAAATTTGTTCCTCTGTATCATTTAAGGGATTTGAAGTAAAAGAACAATACAAAAAACAAGACTGCTAGATCAAATCAGAACCTTGAATGTTCGTACTGTGTCTCATTTTCTATGAAGTAATTTAAAATAAAATATCTGATGAAACTTCAAACAAAACTGAAAAAATTTCAAACTTTTTTTGATGTTTTCTTTTTGAGAAAATTATTTCCCCACACTCTAAGCAAAAAAAAAGATATCTGCAGCATCTAGCAAAATAATAATTAGACCAAAAAGCATGACTCAATCCATTTTGGAACGTTTTTCAATTCGGATTAAATCTTCGCTTACGCCTTAACAGCACAAAATATATTGCGCGTTTATTCTCCCAAATTGGTCAAATGGGCAAAACTTAAACTTCCATTATTTCACAGGTATAAAAAACATTCGTATTTGAGCTAAATGCAGCACTTATTTTGAAGTCGAATAATATAAGAAAAATTAGGCCAAAATTGCTAGCGAAAAAGTCGAAATTTGTCTGGAGAAAAAAACCATCCCGAGCACAAATGTTCCGTCTCTATATTCGAAAGTCGGAACAACAATTCTTTTAGGCTGAGGAACTAACCAACCTGTTACATAAACTGTTGCTTGATACCTCAAACAAAATCTATAGACGGTACAGATCAAATATAACACAAACCGATTCTGGAGAAGAAAAAAAATATACAAACAATTTTTGCAGTGTTAGTGCAGTTTGTCAATCTCAGGAAACTTTATGATTTAAAGATGACATCTTTGTTCTCTAAATGTTGTCTTTAATAGCAATCGGTTCCCAAACATTGTTTCTTTTTTGAAATTCTTATGCCTTTACGACTAATTTTAGAAATTTAGAAAATAATCAAAGTTAAACTGCATCGGGGTTAAAGTAGGGTTATAAGTTCACACTTGTTCAATATTTCCAATGATTGTTAACATAACATCTTTTCAAAATTTTAAAAAACAATAAATTTAAACAAAAAGCTTCTCAGCTAAATAAAAAAGTGATTTATTACATACTTTTTCACTTTCATGCGTAGATTTGTCAAAAACTTCCACAGCATTAAGATAAGTTAAAAATAAGGCATATGGTATGTCTAAAAACTTAATTGAATTCGTTTTTTTTCCAGAATTAATTCTCTCTTTTTTCTTAAAAATTTTTTGTTACAACCTCCAAAAAATTGCTACAACAATTTTCTTCTTCTCGAAAAATTAGTAACTAAAAAAAATCACTAATAAAGAATAAATGAAGTATGAAGTTGTCCGATTTCTGGGTTGAATGCCATAACATTTTAGTAATATTTGAATAACAGTACAACAAGCGAAAGGGTAATGCTAAAAAATAAGTTAGCAGTAGAAAAAATTACCAAGCAAGTAACAAGTATATAGAACTCAATTTACTCTAAAAGCTCCTCTAATTTAAAATTTTGAAAAAAAAGTGTTTCCTAAAAGATGAGAGCTATGCAAAAACCATTGCCTTAACAGAATTTTGTTGAATGATAACCGCAGTTTAGTCTTCTCAAGCTTGAAAATTATCAACATTGGATTGGAATCAACAAGAAAAAATCGAGGTAGCTGAAGTAAGAGGCAAAAAACAACAAAACCAGTTCTGGTTCTCAAATAGCACATTCATACAATCAGAATTTAAAAAATGAAGGGTCATTTTATTACTATCAGTTTCTTTATGAAGCATCTCTAAGCACATGGTTCAATAAACTTCAGGTTAAAAAACCGTAAATGGTATTATGCCCGCTTTGTTATACTTCCTAGAACAAATTCTTCATTGCTTGTATTGCCACTATCAGTTCAGATGTTAACATATCTACTTTTGCAAATCTCGTCTTATTCCCCCGAAACAATCCCCCCCTATTGTTTCTACTAAAGAATCTCCACCCCAGTAAATAAAAATAGTAAATTCGCACTAGAGCGTTGTATGTAAATTCGAACTTTGCTGCATTCTGATTGGTCGAAAATTCGCTGCAAGTAATCTACTTAACAATCTCTCCCCCCTTTCTTGAAAGGGGGGAGATTGTTACGTAGATCAGGTCGGAACAAGATGCAAGCGCCGGAAGCGAAAACCATAATTAATTTTAATTGAAGGAATTTTTTTAATTTTAAGTTTTGAAAAATTAAGTTGTGAAAATTGTAATTTTAACTTTGTAATTTTAACTTTCATATTGCAATTCCAGCAGCAGCGCAAAAAACTTAAGCTATTCTTGACGTCAAGAAAACCCTGTCTGAACGCTTTTGACTTGTGATTTAACGATAAGAGATCTTGTACGCTCATGTAAGATCTTCGAAATGCGAATTCAGCCCGCCTCTTTTCTCCCAAATAATTTCTGCGGGCATTTCAATAAGGTGTCATATTAAAAATACTTGAGTCAGAAATTGACAGTAAATAGGAATTTGAGATAAAAACAATGCTGAGTTTTTAGTTTGAAAAGTGCATCAATTGGAAAAAAGCATCAGTGTTGAAAAATGCGTGTCATATAATTTTGAGTTACATAAAAAATTGCTTTTCGTACAATTTCCATTTATAAAAATTTTGTGATAAACTTTAAGTTTTGCTTACTTACAGGGGCAGATCTAGGATTTTCTCAAGGGGGGGGGGCGGATTTTCCAAAAACTTTCGAAAATTTTGACGACCCTTTTTTTTTAGGTCGACCAAATTGAAAAAACAGTCAAAAAAGCCGTTTTTGGGCACTTTTTGAAAAATGTTGACAAAAAAATCGCGTTTTTTTGGCGCGCGCTCCCCCTTAAAATTAGTATATATTGGCGCCAAAGGCGCCTTTAGAAAAGTTTTAGGGTCGGTCGGCCAAAAATGGATTTCTTAAAAAGTATCAAAGGGGACCCTTTGGGTCGGCAGGGGTTCGAATCCCTGAGGAGAAGGAGCGACCGCCACCCTTCGCCCCCCCCTAAATCCGCCCCTGCTTACGTAGCTACAAAAATTCCTGACAAAAATTTCTAAATTAAAGAGATTGTATGGAATTGTATGACAGGAAAAATTAAGTTTATGAAAATTGTATGACTAGAAGTCAATCTGGTAGTTTTATTTTAGAGAAGACTTGGAACAAGCAGAAGACGTGGATTACAAACACCTTCAGATGATATCTTCCAGATCGAACTCCTTCAACCCCGTCTCAAATCAGATACCTGAAATGACCAAAACAGACCAAAACTCCACATCGAACAAAACCGACAACGGCGATGACTCGCAACTGCCAGACACGTCTGTTAAAGGAGAAAAAGTTAGAGCTAAAAAGGAGACGAGGAATTTTCTATCGGTCAAGGACGCTCTCAGACCCCCAGAAGGCAAAAAGAGGGTCCGTTCGACTCGGAGTTATAACTACATCAGCGTTGATAGTGGCAATGATAGAACAACAAAAAATTCGGGTGAAGTTGAAGTAAACAACAACAATAATAACGAGTACAGTACCAAACGAGACGACGATAATTTGGAGTTCAGATCAAATAAAATTGGAGATGGCACATCATTCAAAAGCGCCAGCGAAAAAACGTAAGACCTTTTTTATCTCAGCTCTAAGTTTTCTTTTTGATGGTTAAAAATGGTAATTACCCTGCAAGTTAGATACTTGAATAAACACAGTTTTGAAAAACCTGCAAAAATAAAAGTTAGTCATTACCATTTTCTGTTTTTTTTAAATATGTTTTAATATTCTTTTGCAGCTTCCATTTATTTGTAACGTTTGATTGTAATCACGACTGCGAGTCAACTTCACGACTGCGAGCCCAAAAGAGGGGCATACTTCTGACTACGCCAATTAACCACTGAAAATTGAGATTTATGACTACGATTAGTCCAATTAGTATCAAAACCTGATACCAATGCATTTCAAACTTACATTTTAATCTGACCTTCGAAGAGTACTTAAGCCGAACACAATTATTTTCTATGTTTACAGAAAAATAATTGGATTCGGTAAGTTTTTATCTTCAACCAAAGTTTGTCTTTTTAAGTAGCTAACTTTGATGCCTATTCTAGTCTGAAATATATCAATAGATTGCGCTCAAAAAATTAACAGAAATTACCTGCATTCCAACTTGGTAATTTGGAATGATTAAAAACTGCCAATTTGGGATAATTTATGTGCAATATATTTCGTTATGTTAGGCAAAACCCTAATTGTTCCGACTGCACTTAAGGCCAATTGAAACGTTTTTTAATGAATAATTGACAAAATAAAGAAGAAAAAAGAACATTTTTATTTTCAATTTTTCTTCATTTTATCGCCCCAAACGATATGTAAAAAACTAAGGGTGTGTTTAGCGTCTCGTATTATGATGGATTAAATTATTTAGCTCAATTCAAATTGGAATGCATTCACTCCTTACACGTGTTATTAAAACGTAATATATCACACTTTAATTATTCCAAATCGGCCAAAATTGCAATTTTCAAACGCCCGTAACTTACAAAAAAAATGATCTCAGGTGAAATATATTTTTTTAAATTTGAGCTTAAAATAACAAAATCTTTCACATGGTCTTAAAAAATTTCCGTCAAAAACGCTTACTTAACAAGTCGAAAACTGACCGATTCAAAAAACCACACCAAGCAAAACTATTCCGCATTTTCTTGGCATGTTGGAACAACAAGGAAAATTTTGGTATGCGAGGAAAAAAAGTGTGGTGGTAAAAATGCTTTGAAGATAGCAAAAGATCAGTGCACTCGGACGCGAAATAGTTGTGAGTGTTTCAAAGAAAACAGTCTGGACAAAATTGGTTTGAGTTTTTTAACGACTCATTTGACAAAATAAAGAAGAAAAAAGAACATTTTGTCAGCTTTTTAAAAGAATCAACAGCTTTTTAAAAAGAATTTTTTGTTCAAACGTCCAAACCTATTGTTCCGACCGTCAAAAATTGCAAACAATTGGTCACTTCTTCGAAATTGAATTTCGAAGAAAGTGACGTAATATTTGTGGTTTTTTCTGCAAAAAAAAGTTGTCTCTTTATGTAACAATTTTTGACTAAATTTCAAAAAATCTATATTTCACTTGTGATTATTTATACAGAAGGTTTAAATGTTGCCAATTTGGTCACAATGAGACAATTGATGCGAATTCCATTTCGTGCAATTTGCAAGCAAGCAGAGAAAAAACACGCAATGAAATCGTTCCAGACTGAATGAAGGCATGCTTTTTGGTCTGTTAAAACATCTAGCAATTGATTGTATTTTAAAATGATACTTTATCATTGAAAATTTGCTGTTATGAGAATATTATAATTGGAACATTATTACTACGTAAACATAAAGCTATCAAACATCTCTGAAAAATAAAAATAAAACTTTTTAATTGAAGTTTGCAGATTTATGAAGGGCTTTTGAAACGAATGACGTTTTAAGTGAATTCTAACTAATTTTTTATCACATTGAACTTTTGCACAAAATTTTAAAAAGAACCTTAAAAAATTGTTATTTTTTTGGGATTGTTCATCAATTTTTAACGTGAAAGCTGCTCCATAGACATTGGTTTGTAGTGGATTACTCAGGGCCTCACTCTGACTCTGATACGGGCAGTCTTGTTTTGCTTTCAAATCAAATATCAAATAAAAAAATGACGAAGAAATAAAAAAAAATTATACTTAAACTAAAAGAGCTCAAATTTAAATTTTTTTTTGAAGATTATAAAAATCGGACAGCCAAACCTTTATCAATGATCCATGAGTAGATTTTTTTGATTCATGAGTTGAGAATGTTTTTGGATTAAGCGCATGTGGTAATTCACAATACCCATGTGAAGCCTACTTAAAGCAATTTTGGTCTTTGGTACACTACTAAAGATATCTTAAAAAACTGGAGCAACAACAATTTTCAGAAAAAGTTCGATTGAGTCTATCAAAAGTGGTAGCATCTTGGTTTTTTTTTAACAAAAGTAGAAACTGGACAGCAAAATCATTATGGATGGTGTATGAGTTGAAAAGTTTTTCAATTTACTACGAGAGATTTATGAAGGTGTTTTGAAAGAATGATTTCTTAAATGAACTCTAATTTATCTAAGATATAAGAGCAGACTGAAAGTGAAAAAATTGATTAAAACGTAAGTTTTTTTGTTGTTTTTATTCGTTAAAACCCTTTTTTTGTCAAAAAAAAATTAGAATTGTTCAAATTACACTCAATCAAATAAAAATGCCGCTTTAATCTGTTTTGAATTCAAATTAGTAACTTTATTCATTTGAGAACTGTTTTAAAACTTTATTTGGTCACATTTATGAACAATTTTGCAAAATCGAAAACTTCCGAACGATAAATTATGACCGCTAAATTATCAAATTTTGATACAGTTTTTGATGCGACCGGGGAAATGTGGATGCCCTGCAATCAAATATTCAAAATTATTCTGCCAGAAACAATTTTTTTGTTAATTTATGGAGCTCGAATATAGCCAGTCAGGTCCTTGCGAGACCATGGGGCGTAAGAAACTACTAGTTTTTCATCAAGGCAATTTTATAGAACCACAAACAGAAACAGAAACAAACAAATTTAAAATCTATTGGAAAAATTATCTCATCAATTTGTTTAAATTTTGAACTGATGCCATCGTACGATAAGTGAAATTTTCGATTCAAAATCCAATATGCTTCTTTTTCATTTGCTTTAGTGATTTAATCAATACATTTTTAGTTTGCAAAGATAATGAATTTGAAATTAAATAGTTGTAAAAAGTAAACAAAAGTTGATATGACCTTTCCAACAGAATTTAAATGAGATTGTTTTTTGTTTTTAGAAAGCTTCTCTTTATTTTTCTCGATTATGGCCAGACGAAAAAAATTGATTCTTGCGCACGTATGATCTTAAGTTTACATAACTGGCTGCAATCGAACTTCAAAAACTTACAAAAGTTAATGTTTTCTTAGAGCAGTTTTAAGCCTTTGAAACTGGTACTCAAAAATTGTTTTGAATAATTAAAAAATCTATCTTAGGCCGAAACTTATCTATCGGATTCAAACCAAAAACTCTCCATTTTGCGATAATCAAAATCAGTGAGTTTAATGTTTTTTGTTTGTCAACGAATCATTTTTTTGTAAATTTTAGTGTTATTTTTTATACTAAACATTAGAGTGTTTTCAATTGAGTGTTTCAAAAGTTAAAGTGTTTTCAATTAGAACTTTGACACCGAGCGCAGTTTAATCTACTGACTTTGCTAACTGATTTTTGTGCTATTTTTTCAATATGCTCGCATGTTACCAAAATGTGGCCTGTTTAAAATTCAAAACCTCAAAAAAGATATGCATGGAATTTTTTGATTTTTTCTGCGACATTTTGAAAATTGAAAAAATGTGCAGAAGAACTATAAATTCAATCACTTGGAAAATAAGTTTTAGTCACTGAAACTCTAGTTCGAGCAGAGCAAATAGTTTAAACTATCAAGCGACAATTGGAAACAATTTCAAGCGAGTGTTTTATGATGCAATCCCTCATTGACTTAGATACCGTTGTATTAGATTGTATCCACTAAAGTACGCAGTCTAAACACAATAAATTTCTCTTGATTCTCCTCTTTTTATGGGGGTTTAAAAATTGCCGATTTAGCCAACTTGGGAGAATTAAGGCGCGATATACTTACCCTAATAACGCGTAAGCAGAGATTTTTTTTAAAAAAATTTCATCTACCTCGTCAAGTTTTTAAAGCAAATATTGTTCCATAGACTTTTCTCTTCAAAAACTGGTATTATATCCGCTGGTTTTTGTGAAAAGAAATGAATCTTTTTATTTTTTGATTTTGATGGTAAAACTCAACATACTCAATTGTGAAACCCAAGTCTTGGTCACCATAGTCCATATATCAAAACATTGATAAACTTTCAGTATTTGCATATTTTTGGGAACAAATTTATATGCTGTTTTTGATCCAAAAGGTAATGCCATATTTTAGACTATTTTGGCAGCAATTTCATAGTTTTAAATTGGTATTTCACTTAAAAAAATGCAACAATTGTTTGCACTCGTAAAATCCTAAATATGCCCCTGTTCACTAGGGAACATTAAAGAGCGCGCACAAAAATGAAATTGAGTTTGAAAAAGCGCAGTTCAAATTGAACTTATATATTTGTACGATGTGGTTTTGTGGAAAAAAATAATATAGGTTGATTTTTATTAGTATTCCATGCCATGTTGGTTATAATAAAATTATAAATAAAAACTGGGTTCACTATTGATTACCCTTTACGCCTACAATCCACCTTAAATGTCAACTAAATGTCATCTTGTAAATGTCAACGTTGTATATTACATGGTAATTTCTATAGCTGTAAGTTTCAGATGGCATTTAGGTTTGGCAGTTGTGAGTCATAAAGGTAGATGCTGCAATCGGAGTTTCTTATTTGTGAAGTGTCATCTAGTTGACATTATAGCATCTAGATAGCATCTAGATAACATCTAGATAGCATCTAGATAGCATCTAGATAGCATCTAGATAGCATCTAGATAGCATCTAGATAGCATCTAGATAGCATCTAGATAGCATCTAGATAGCATCTAGATAGCTTCTAGATAGCATCTAGATAGCATCTAGATAGCATCTAGATAGCATCTAGATAGCATCTAGATAGCATCTAGATAACATCTAGATAGCATCTAGATAGCATCTAGATAGCATCTAGATAGCATCTAGATAGCTTCTAGATAGCATCTAGATAGCATCTAGATAGCATCTAGATAGCTTCTAGATAACAACTAGATAACATCTAGATAGCATCTAGATAGCATCTAGATAGCTTCTAGATAACATTTAGAACATCTAGATAACATCTAGATAAGATCTGGAGCATCTAGTTAAGTGTCATGATAGCATCTAGCTTAATTAAAACTTAGATAAGTGTTCGTTTTTTGTTGCTTAGAGTCTCGTTAAGCGCAAACTCACATGAGAGCGACAAGAAAGAACAGTGTGACTCCATCAGCGGGAAAAACCGCAACAGAAAAGCCTCATCTCAAAGTAAGTGCCCATTTTCAACCCCTAACACCAACACCTCTATTTTTTTTTCATTCTGTTTCCAAAACCCCTAGCACAAACCCCTCTACTTTTTTTTTCATTCTGTTTCCAAAACCCCTAGCACCAACCCCTCTACTTTTTTTCATCTCTATTTCATTCTGTTTTTATTTGGATTCTGTTTTGTTTCCAAAACCACCCCCGTCCCCTCCCGCCTCCCCCAATTCTGCCCACTATTTCATCTGCAGAACAACATCTCTCAAATCCTTCATATTTTACAACTATTTGTTCATAAATCTGTCTTCATAGTCTTCAGCTTCTCTTCAAATCGAGTCTCAATAATTTATTAAATGTCACTGAAATCCCCCTGACCGGAGAGCTCTTTCCCCCTCTCAGCCCCAGATCAACAGGACATTCCGTCTGCCACGGAGAAATACTTAGTAGGCAGTCCTAATATATAATGAGAGACAAATATCAGAGTATACAGCTACCGTTTCGTAGATTAGAATGGCTTATTAACGGCTTTAAAAGCTTTTTCTTGCCATAAATTAAAAATTCTTCCTACTCTTTTGCTTAAATCTATTTTTCAGCCCACATAATCATTCTGTTGTCTTTCAAATTACATTTAAACTTGTGTTTGAAAATTGCACTTGAATTTTAGAACTTGGAAATACGAAAGCAGAATAAGTTTGATCAGGTTTTTGCTCTTTTGATTAGCCCGGTCTTTAATTGTTTTTTTTGTTTGCTGCAGATAATTTGCTTCCTTCATTCGTCGTGACTAAATTTAACGAAAGTCAAAGTTCGATAGACGACGAAGCTGATGAAAATGAAAAAGAATTGAGTTATACCGAACAAGGGGAAATTTTCAACGCGGAAGACAAGCTCTTGAAACATTACAGAAACCGACGCCCTTTAAATCAGTTCACTCGTTCTTTTGATGGGGCTTACTTTGATTCTGTAAACTTGAAATCCGAAGAAAGTTTGCAAAATATTGACAAGATTAAAGACGACTTCCCAAATTTGTCCCGTGAGCTTGAAGAGAACGAAAGTCTTGACGCTAAAAATGATTTCAATCGCAGACATTCGTACAATTTTTTATCTGAAAATCAAAGTTGTCAATCGCAAAGTTTTTCGAAGGATCATTCAAGTAGAAGCACCCATTTTTACCAGCCAAAAAGCTGTGACAAGTCGGAAACTTCGACTGAAATTAGAGACTACAAATCATTCAGGCTGTATTTAGAAAATTCTGATAATTTTAGCTCCAATTACGCAGTAAAATCTAATAATCGGGATTGTGATAAAAAAAAGAGTTCACGAAAATCGAACAAAAACACTTTAAGCGTAAGTGAACAAGAAGAATTCTCAGGACAAAAATCAGCCCCCCGTTGTATTGAAAAGTCCCGCTCCGAATGCGACTCGCCCCAACGACAGTATCAAAAACATAACAAGATACAGCACACTGCAAAAAGCATTGATTTATCAGCATCTACTGAGAACAAGCTGCAAAATAAAAGCCTTAATTCAACCTTTTTGCCTCATAAAAGAGATTTTACAAACCAATTTTTACCTCACCACCTAGTGTATAAATGTGAGGAAATCGCACCTGATTTTGCGACCCAGTTGGAAAATAACAAAGAAGACAAATTTGGTTACTCAAGGCGCGATTATTTTCCTCATATATCACAGCCCAATTTTCCTCCGGCCGCTGATGCATCATCCTTAATTGGGCATCAATTGGTTACCCCGAACAGCTACCAACCGTCACGTGGTAACTTCAAGCGAGACTCAAATCGCCAGTCAGTTAGAACGAAAAGCAAAAGACTCCACAAGGATGTTGGTTCGATTAGTCCCCAGGAATCATGGCAAGACTTGTCTCTTTCCCAGCCAGATAAGCAACTACCAGATTACCGCTTGGCCAATCTTATCTCTCACAGCCAAATTACGCAGGCTACTTCTAGTTATAACCAGGGGAATTCTAGTTATAATCAGGGTATAGCTAGTTACGACAACGAGCAGCTATCCTTGTCACATCCTTTGGCAAAGTATCCTCTATACCCTCTTGTGACCAGTGGGGGGTCACTTGCTTCGTTCGACCACCGAAACGAGTTCAATCCTGCCAATCACAATCTTCAAGAGAACAGTCAGAATACAAATTTGAGGCACTCGTTTTCAGACAGACACAATAGAAGGTGAGTGCTCTCACAATTCATTTTAATCGCCAAGTATTTGCCGATATTCTCTTTGGATTCCATCGGCATTTCAAAAATCCTTCAAGTTTCTATGAAGAAAAACTTCCATTAATGAATATTTCTATTTTTAATACGAAAAAGTTTTAGTTTGAAATTTTTTATGAGCGACTGAAACGCTCACATATGCAAGTTTAGAAACAAGAAGAATTTGATTCTTCGCAAAATCATTGAAAATTGTTTTACGGCTGTACAAAAACTCTGAAAAAAAAAATGAAAAAAAATCTACTTTATTTAACAATTTAGCAACTAAATTCTTTTTTTTTTTGGTTTTATTTTATTGACCCGCTTTCCACACGTGATATTATTTTAGGAACGCTTACGGTTTTAGCTTGTTGGCCAAAACGTAGGCCGTTGAAAATACCAATTTAAATTTTTTTGATCTTGAAAATGGAGGTTCTTTTTCTAGACAATTTTAGCGACTATCTACGACATCTATAAAGTACAAAACGACAACGAACACTTATTTTTTGTTTCAGCTTCCGGGAGGATTCAAAACTTCAAAAGAAGAACCGTCCTAACCTTACCCGACAAGCGCAAATTGCACCGACGGTTGCCAATTCGCGGGATAAATTTTTGAGCAACATCGCAAAACCCTCTCGGAATTTTCCCACAATCTACGACAACATCGGCAACCTAGATCCAAGATCGGAAGTAGTTTCGAGGAGCCACTTAAATCCCAGGACCCCTCCGATCACAGTGTCGAGGACTTTCGACATGGGCGAGGTGTTCTCGACATGTGGGGGGAACTCGGGAAAAACTGAATTGAGAGATGAGGGTGATGAAAATAGAGGACGGCGAAAAAGTGGAAAAGTTTTTCGCAAACATCACTCAACTTGTGTAGACAAAAACAGTAATTCAGATGCAACTAACGAAGCTTCAATCAGGTTTGTTGAACCTGTTTTTTTTTAAACTATTTGAAACTATCTTTTTTCTTTTTTTACCTCTCTCACCAAAACAGACCCCCTCTCAAGGTTGCATTCAATCGTTTCAAAGCCCAAAGCCCCACCCCTTGGTCTTATTTTATGAGATCCAATTTCGGCCGACCGACACAAAATATTTTCTGAAGGCGTCTTCGGCGACAATACCTATACTAATTTTCAAGGGGAGCGCCCAGGAATTCAATTTGGTCGACTAAAATAAAAGAGTCGACAAAATTTTCAAACGATTTTTAGAATCCCCCTCGAGAATCGAGAAACGCCTAGCTCCACCCCTGATGTGAAGAATACTTGATTCTGTTCTTTTACTTGGCATTTATTGATAAAATACAACTTGTATTGTGATGATTGATGTTTGTATGAAATCAATTTTATTTCATTTCAGTACTCTAGTCCACAGTTCTCCCAGACGCAGTCAAGAGTTCCTCACAGTGCCTCAGTTCCAACCGGGAGGGGGACTTGGACCCCCAAGTATCATCAACATGCTCCTGCCGGGAGATCAAGGTCACGATAACCGGAGGTCAAGCTTCGGAGACAGATCCCACCCGGCTTGGAAGAGTGCCGACAGTTATCGAGACAAACCCGAATTCCGAAGGTCATTCGATGACCGCATGTGCATTCAAGGAACCTCGCAGGTACTGTTTTTTTTTCTTGTCGGGTGAATAAGATTAAAAGTTGTTACTTAAAACTAATTTTTTCATATTAGTTTGACCAAATTTATTTTCTCAGCTTTCCCAAATCACCATAAAGAACTTTTTTCGCGCCACAAGAAATTTTTGAAAATATTGGTTAAAAACGACGTTTTTAGGCATAATTTGAACGGTTTTTATCAAAAAATGCGTTTTTCTGGCACGAGATTCCTCCTCAAAATTAATTTATAATGGCACCGAAGGCGCCTCAAGAAAAACTGGGGTCGGCTAGACAAGGATCGGTTAGAAAACTAGATATCGTAAGAGAGTATCAAAGGAGATAATCTTTGGGCGGTTGGGAATTTGAATTCCTGAGGGGGGAACCAATCCCCATAAATCCACTACTGAATCAAATTCTTCAACTGTTAAAAATTATGCTCAAAGTTATGAAAAAATTCTAGACAATTAGTCATTTATGGATAAATTTGGGATAAAAATAGACTTAAAATAAAAAGAAAAAACTTTTTTCTGAAATTTGAAACTTTTTATGAAAATTATCCCCCCACACACCATACAAAGTATAAAAGAATAGATTTCGCTCCTTGTAACAAATCACTTATGGCAAATAAGCTTCTTTCAACCAATTTGGAACGATTTTAAGACGGATTAATTCTCCGCTCACGCGTTAATAGTGCGAAATATATATCGCGCGTTAATTGTCCCAAATTGGCCGAAATGGCAATCTTTAAACCCCCATAACTTTACAAAAAATGATCACAGGTGAAATATCTTTTCAAATTTGAGCTCAGGACAACAATAGCTTTCGACGAATGATATAAGAAAATTCCCTCAAAAATGGCTAGTTAAAAAGTCGAAATTTGTGTGAGGAAAAAAAACCCACCCCGAGCACAAATATTCCGTTACTTTCGTATCGAAAGTCGGAACAATTATAGTCGCTTATCATTATCGGGAAACAATATTTCGAAAGAAAATTTTGTATTTATATCAACGAAATTCTCATTGTATCACAGAACAGCGGATGTATTCTCGCATGCTTTTGAACCAGTTAGCAAAACTACAGAACTTAATAAAGACTTGGAATGAAAATTAGAGTGGATGAAAATTTAAAAACTTACAACGAGCAAAAAAAACACCTGATTAATAATGTAATGATTACTAATGATTACTTTGAAAGTTTAAACGGCAACAAAAACACAACATAACTTAATAAAAGCCATCAATGATTTGGGATTAAAACTGGATCAAAATGACAATATAACAAAAATTATTTTAAAAAAATGCAATCGATGCATTTTTATTTTTTTGTCAAGCACGACAATTTCTCATCTCATCTGAAAAATACGAGCCGTTTATTCAACTAATGAATCAATAAGGTAACTCAGTATCCGGAGTTGACAAGAAAACCGCCCTAAGAAATCTGCAATTTCAACAAAATATTGTAAGTTCGTTTGCATTTTGCCATATTAAAACACAATAAGTTAGGGCATCAAAAACACAGGGCACTTTTTATCAATGAGTTACACGTATACGAGCTTTTGAAGTTACTCTCTACGACAACAAGACGGAAACATACAAATGACAAAATGAACAAAACAATTTTTTATTTTAATTCAAGATTAAGATAAGCCACTAGATACCATTCGAAGAATAAAATCACTAACACAAAAAACAACACGACATAACAAAACACTAGTTTTTGTGCAAATATGGACACTATATAACACACAAATAATTTTCAAGCAAAAATCGTCAAAAAAATTTACTTGAACCATTAATAGTCTTTTCACAACCTAATGCATACAATAAGAGATACTTTTTTGATTGATTGTGACTAACTGTTTTGGCAATAAAGCATTGAGACAACTGGAGAAAATTCAGAAAACATACATCCAAAAAAAACTCATCGTAGTAATTGAAATAGGTCAATCAAAACATCAAATAAACTTCAAAATTAAACATTGTTCTGAAACTTATACCTTGAAGCACAATTTAACAATTTGCAAGAGAAGTAAAATATCAGAAATCGATTTTTATTTGTTTTCTTTTATCCATAATCTTTCTTTTTTTTCTGGACAGTTAGTACATAAAATAAAACAATCAGATCTAGATTAAATCAAGCTTTCTAGGAAGTTCTCAGTGGCGCTTTAACAAATTGAATAACGATTTGCGCTTGCTCAAATTGGTGCTCTCTCACCGATAAGTCTTCTATATTGTTGAATTATTGAACAAATTGGAACAAATTTAAATGAAAATTGAAGTTTATGCAGTCAATTTCAGGAAGTTTTTCTCAAGCGTAGCATGTAAGATTTTGTTTCAGAATCATCTCGGCCAAAATAACAGGCCAAACAACGCTCTAAAACCAGTGGGTGACACATGTAGAGAAAAATCGCACTCTCAGGAAGTTATGCGGATTCGGAGTTCACTCTCCATGAACAGAAGCAGCAACCAATCACCTCACGGAACTTCAACGAACAGTTCATTCGACCGAAAGTCGCCGAGAAACTCACGTCAAAACTCACGTCAAAACTCACAGGAGCACTTTCGAATCTTGAGTCCTAGTTATTGTAATTCACCTGACCGTGAACGATGGGCAATCGGAAAAAAACGAAGTCGAGAGGGCTTGGGATTGTCGCCCAGGAACTCTTGTGATTCGCGGAACTCATACCACGGAGCTACTCGGGAGCGTGGTAGATCAAGTTCTCGGAGTCCCAGAGTCAGTCCAAAGATTTCACCTAATAATTCGATAAATCAGCCTGACATTGCACTAAGAGACATGGGCGGCAACTTCAATCGCAGCATCGACTCGGAACACCGGAAGCGAAACTTGTACATTTCGGATTTTAACAGATCTCATGATTCGACAGACCGAGAGGCAAATGCAGGACACGACTTGTGGAATCTGCGGGCGACTATGGAAAGTAGCTGGGAGGAAGACGATGAAGAGGATGAGTTCCCGAACGGCGTCGAGTTTGAGCTGGAAAAAGAGGAGTTGATGCTCTTGGGAAGACATGGGATAAACATGGACCTGGACATGGACATGGATCCCTATGAAAATCTCCATAGAAGGCCTCCAGTTAATCAGGCAGGTCAGAAGTAATTGAAAAGTAAGACGGAAGACATTGGAATATGTGAAGAGTTTTGGTGATTTTCCTACCCTCTCAATTGAAGCAAGCAACTTAGTTTCTTAGATTTGATTACTTTGATAAAACCCTCATTTGGATAACTTATGAATTGTTTCAAATAACGCCGTAGATTTTTTTCTACGCGCTTTGCTTGTGTACAATTTATAATATTTATTAATCTTTATAAATAACGAGAACAAGAACTTAAAGATGGTTGAAGTTAGTTAAATCTTGATTATCAAAACTTCCTATTTGTCTAGTGATAATTTTCTTATTCTGTTATAGTTCCCGTGAATCAAAACAACCACCCAACTTCATTTTATGGCCAATCTTTTCACGATTTACCACGACGTGATCACGACAACTTTATTCTACCACAAAATCACCATTTTCACTCTATCAATAGCAATACCTTCAGCAAATTTCATTCCACAAACTCAAACCGGAACTTCAATGAAACTGCTAGCAGCAACGTGAAAGCAGATGCAACTTCAAATATTTCAAACAGAGGTCAAACATTTTTAAATGTAAATGACCTTAAAAACTTTAACAATTTGAGAGGTCAAAGCCAAAATATTAATTTGCTATCTTCAAATGACCAAAATCAAACAAGTTTGTCCAATTCGAACTTGGAAAAAAGCAATAACCGGAGCCCGAAATTGGATCAATTTGTAGTAAGTACTGTAGTCCATGGTCAACACGAGACGGCGGTCGGGGCCGGGCAGAAACGAGTGGTGGGGTGTGGGGCTGGGGGGTTTGGGGCTGCCAGTTTCGACAGCAGCGGCACAGCTGATTCGGAGTGCAGTGGAGCCGCACAGGTGGTGGGGACGACTAGTGGAATGAGTCACGAAGGCACTCGGAAGTTCTCCAGTTCATTTTCTATTAATGACGACAGTCTGTTCAATGGTTAGTGTGATATATTACGGGTTTGATGCGACTAAATTTTCAGAAAAGGGACAACCGATCAACATGCTATTAAGATTGATAAAACAAGATGGTCAACGCTAAATATCGTTAAGTGCATCAATAGAAACCTACAGCTTCTTTCAGAATTTTACCTCACAATCAATTGCATGGCTTCATCATGCTTGAAATGCAAAATAATTGTACATGCATTCGTCTGCCAAAAAAATCCTGAACGTAGCCCTTAGATTCTAAAGCAGGAGCTGTTTTTGAGCATCTGCGATTCATTAATCGAGTGTATAATATTTGCAAAAATAAGCAGTTTTGTTCAGTGGTTTGGTACTATTTTAAGATATCCAATTTTGGCTGACCGATATCAATATTTTTCTATAGGCGCTTTTGTGTCAGCATATACTAATTTTGAAGGGGAGAGCGTGCCGATAAAAAATTTTTGGTCTAAATTTTCCAAAAAGTGCCTAAAAATGCCTTTTTGGCCTGTTTTTTTTTCAAAATTTTGCCTGCGGCGCAGAAAATTAGCTAAAACTGGGTGTTTTTAGTGCTCTGGAAAAGCTCGAAAAATGAAATGAGTCAACCTAATAAAAATAGTCCGCAAAATTTTTAAAACATTTTTGAAAATCCGCCCCCTCGGAAAAATCCTAGATCCGCCCCTGGTTTTTTTTAGTATTACAGCTCGATATACCAACAGAAAATCGTTGAATATTGCAGCTGACCAAATACGTTCGTTTAGTAGGCGTTGGACACAGACAGCGCAAACCGACTTCTGTTTCCAACCGGCTTCATTGCCAAAATTAAACTGCTTATTTACTACTGCGTTTGTAGACCAAGAGTACTTGAGTGACTCGAACCAGCACTGGAGTCTGAATGAGCGCACTTCATCTGAGATGCAGCATCTCAAATCGGCGGTGGGGGCGGCCATCAGAGCAGGCACCAAACAGGACAGCAGGCGAATCATGAGAAACAGCACTCCTTCCTTCACTCAAGACACCAACAGGGCGGGTACTTCCACTGATCCTCGGATTCAACAGCACACATCAGGTACAATAACAGCAACTTACAAATAAAATAACAATCTATGTCATACAGGCTGGTATCGAAACTTAAATCTTAAATTTTGTTTCAAATTTTGCAACAAAAATAGGGTCTTTACGTTCTGTGCTACTTAGAATTAAGGCTGAATTAGAAATAATTTAGAAATAAGGCTGAATTAATTTTATCCTTAAATTTAAAATGGACATTTTGTGCATAATGCTTAATCTTCAGTTTTTAACAAATTGTTTGCTTTTTTGTCGCCTGTTACGAATTGACGCTTCACTACTGCCTTATGTTGTTAAGGGAGCATTGTTGCAATGAGACCACATCATCATGGATGTAGCAAGGAACTAGACTCAGGAGCTCCTCGGGAGCACAGCAATAAGAGTAGTGGGATTGGCGGCTGTGGTTGTGGCGGTGCTACTCAGCAGTCGAGTAACCCCCCTGCTCGCAACAAGAGTGAGTCTGCCATGAGTAGCATGAGTGAGTTGGGGGTGAAGAGCAGACTGTCTTACACTCTCTCCAACAAGGAGGATGACTCACTCGAACTCGAGTCCCTCAAGGTAAATAATCATGGATCGAAACAGGCGATAAGGCAAAAAAACAGATTGTAAAAACCACTCTATACTGATCTATTTTAAACTATTTATCCGCGAAGGGAAAGTAACAATATACGAGCAAGTCAGCTCTCCGAAAACTAAATTTTCGAGTTCTGTCTTCTGAAAGGTTCCATTGAGAGAGTAAGTTTTTTCTCTAAAAAGAAGCTTTTCATTGGGGATCAAGGGTGAATTGTTAATAAAAAAGGAAAGTATCAACATACGAGCTGTTCGGATTTTAAGGGAGAACCGGCGCTGCTCCCCTGCTTAAGCAATGCGTGCAATTTTTTTGGCTAATTTTCTGGCGATGGTTAACTTTCTGGGCTGAGAATTGTTGCCTCGAAAGCATCGAGAACGGATTGGGGGTGGGCCTCGAAATATCGATCTTTTAACTGACAAGTTAAGTCATAGCCACTTAACTATTGCCAGCGATGGTATAGTAGCTAAGTATCCGCCTCTCAGTCGAAACAACTGTGCAGTTAACCAGCCATTGTTACGAGAAAAAGCTCCTTTTGAGAAAAAGTTTTGGATCATATGCCAAAATTCATGCTCTCATCAAGCTATCTTTGATAGAGCTAAATTTTAATCAAGAGCTTTTTTAGTTCATACTTCATTTTTTTTCAGTCAGCTTTCATATCTTAAATTTCATTCGCATTATTTCAGGAGCGAATAGTGCAGGAAACAGAGAAGAGCGCAGAACTTGCCAAATCAAGACGTCACGCATACCAGAAAAGAAGGTCAGGTCAGATCTCCGAGAGTTTCGAGACACCAAACAAAGCCCAGATGACCAGTAGGGTGGAAGGAAGTGGTCACGTGATACCCATCTTTGTGGGAGGGGAGTTAAACAGCAGCTTCACCAGCAGTGGGTCTCTCAATGATACAGAGTTCGACTCCCCTATCAACGTGAACAGGTGAATAAAAAGTTTTCGGGATAATTTTTTGACAGTTTGTTTTTTTTGCACAAAAAATTGGTAGTTTGTATCAATTCAAAGCAATGCGACATATTTTCCTGTCTACTATGAACGAAAATCTTGGAAGTTTTCATTACGTTGCTTTTACCCACTTTTTTGTTGTTTTATTGCAGGCGTCTGCTGCCCCCCTCTTACAGGTCTGTGTTGCCGGCAGGGAGGGACTACAGCATAGACAAGAAGACAGACATGATATTCAGGGAGTTCCTCAAGACAGACAGCGCCACCCTACTCAAGTCAGCATCCTCACTCCCACCACCCCCCCCCCCACCCCTCTGCTTTTTAAAATGCCAATATGTTGGCAATATAGGTGATCTCGCGCAATTTAATCGGTCAAAAACTTAGGTTAATTCGTTTTTTTTAGGTTAATTTGTTTTTTTTTGTAAACTATTTGGAAATGAGTGATAAACTTAAATCCAACGTCGAAATGAGAAGTTTTTCAGATTCGTTAGCCGAGATAGATATTGCCAACATTTTGCCATTAACTATAATTACTTAGTTGTTAGATATACATAGGTGTATAATCACCAGCGGATTTAGGGGGGCGGGGGCGGACGCCCTTTTTCAGGGAATTGAACCCTGCCGAACAAAAGGGTCCCCCTTTGTACTATTTTGAGAGATCCATTTTCGGCTGACTGGCCCTGAAATTTTTTTAAAGGCGCCTCTATACTAATTTTGAGGGAAAAACGCGCTAAAAACGCAATTTTTTGGTCAAAATTTTTGAAAAAGTGCCTTAAAACGCTTTTTTGGCCTGTTTTTTCAAAAATTGCCTGCGGCGCAGAAACTTAATCAAAATAGGGTATTTACAGTGATTGGGGAGAGCTCAGAAAATCAATTTGGTCAATTCATTTCGAGTTCAGGACATAACATATCAAAAAAGCTGTAATTGAAGTAAATGATGTGAATTTAGATTGAAATACGGTTTCAAATCCCCGAGAAGAATGCGAAGGTCGCCTCGGAACTCGAAGGGTCCCAGGATCAAACAGGAAGACTCAATTGAAGAGACTGAGGGAGAATCAAACGAGGGTTCCGATCCCAATCTGCAACTGGGTCAACAACCTGGCGAAACTCTCACCCCAGCTGCTGGTAGCCCAGAGTCTGGACACGTTGCCGCTCCAGGAGATGTTAGTTATTCAATGGAATCCGGGAACCACTTGACGGTTGGGTATGTTCCAATGGGAACCCTCGATTGTGCAGGGTCCGATTGGTATCACGAGGACTTCAAGAACTGGAGGACCAGACGGCTTTTGCCTCCGATTAAGAGTCAGGATTCAACTTCGTCTGACCATCATCAAAACGTGCCTGGTTCGACTCCCTTGTCGAGAAATCCGTCAATTTCAAAATCTTGAGATAATTTCAACCCATAAAAAATAAAGAGTTTAATTGAAATACTAGCTATTTATTTGACTGTTTGCTACTTTTAATTTTCCGCTCTACAAAAAAAAAGATTGTTAGTTTGATAATTTATTTTATGAAAAGAATAAAAATGAATAATCTGAATTTAAAATCTGAGAAATGGAGTTTTATTATTCTCTTAAAGCTCTGGTCAAGTACTTTTGTTCCAAATAAGAACCATCCTGATATAATGGAAAATAATAAGTTAAGTACAAATGAAATATAAAAAATGAAATGATGGTAGTACAGTTCAAAAGATAACAATGAAAGTTTCCACGCGTTTTTTCTTCATTTCATTGATTGGTTTATCGTGTTCAAACCAGACGAAGATTGTTCATTTGTTCTCATGGTGCTTGCAGCCGATCTCATACTGCTCATTGCAGTTCCCGCGTTACTTGTAGGAGGTATGACTGATATTTTCGGGTGCCGAGTAGTCGCGCTAGTCCTGGCACTCGTTGCCCCAGACACGTCCCCCTCTCCGCTGCCTGTGGTCCCCCCTCCGTCAACTGCATCACGTGGCTTGTGTTTTTTCTGCTTAAGTACTTTGTGATAGAGTGTCATCCCCGAATGATGCTCGGTGTGAAGTAGACCTTCTTTGAGATGAGGCGAGAATAGTTGAGCTGAAATTTTTTTACAATGGGGTGTCACCTTAATTTAAAATATCGCTATGAAAGATCATTGACAAAGACAGCTAATGATCTTTTGACTTAACCTCAAACAATTGACTTATTTAAGCTTCAATACTTGAGATAAAAAAGGCTGTTTTTTCAAACCTGTGAATTGTTAAACTATCTGCTAATAACTAATGGATAAAATCTATCTTGAAAGATTGGATTAGAAATTAGTTACGAATGATTAGTTGCATTAATAAAGAGTTCAGAACTGCAATCTTTGAACAGTATCAAAAGAGTGGTCTTTTAGTTAGTTCATGAGTGGTGGTTGGCGGGAGACCTGTCACGACCTTGACCTTTAGTAACACGTCAAACATACATATAATGGACGGCTCAAAATGACTTTGACTGCCGTATCACATTTCCCCCTTCTAAAATTTGTAATACTTCGATATGACAAACTAAGTAATAGCACTGGTGGAATGTTTAACAAAAATAATTTCGGAGTTTCAGTTTTCAATTTTCTCAACAGTTTCTCGACTACTCCTTTTTTACAGATCTTTTAAAAACTCTCATGATCTTTTTCGGTGTTGGTGGAGAAGATGAAAACTCCCCCCCCCCCCCCCCCCCAGATATGTTTTCTACGTTAGGTGGAGTTTAAGGCGATGGGTCGATTGTTTGGTCCTGAGAGATTTCTTTCACCGCATGTCTGACCGGGCTTCCGTAAAACCGTGTTCGTTTCTTCGGTCTTCCTGACAATCTCGAGGAATTTGAATTTGAATTGTAATCTACGTCATTTGTATCTGGGGAAGGTGTGGAAATTCTCATTTTACTGTGTTGAGGCTGTTGGCTGATTTGCGGGCTCTGGTCGTCTCCCTCCGACGAAATCGGAATCCATTTCTGAACATTTGGAAAAACCTGTTTCGGCTTTGAACTCGAAGGTGTTTCTGCGGGAGATTTCGGCGTCAGACTTTGCTTTTACGGGACGGTTGTCCCTCCCGATCTTTTTGGACTGTATTGAACTGGTTCGTTTTTCTCTTCTCTATCAGGTCGATTTCCGGTCATAGGTTGAACTTCTGCCACAGGTTGTTGAGTTTTAGTCCCATCGCGGGCTGGTGGTCCCATCAGCGGCCTGGCGGGGGATGACATGGCGATTGGGGGTAAAATTACCCCTCCCGAACTTGATGACGACAAAGTTAGGTCCACGACCGGATTGATCGGCTTCGGCTCTGCTCCTGCAAAGGTGGGTTGCTCTGTTGTGAATCTCTCATCGGTCAACTTTGGGACAATTTTCCTTAATCGAGCTGGCAGTTTTGAGGGTAGCGGTATAACTGATGTCTTTGCAGACAACCTTTTCGCTTTAGGCGACAATGGGGCTAGATCGTCCTTCTGAGGTTGTTGTTAGGCTGTCCTGTATTCTGGGTCTCTTATAGTCCTATTCTGCCCGGCTTGTTTTGTTGAACTTTGTTTGCCTGAAAGATAATCACTTTTTAACCTAAGAGTTATATGGTTTTTCCGGATAACTTTGCCCGATGCTGTAGTATAGGTGTTTTCCGAAGTTTACAATGTGTTCGTTGAAAGTTCTAAATAACTCCTTGCCGGATCTCCTGTCCAGAATTTTACGAAATGTCTCTACTTTAGACGGATCCAAAAGTAATAAATTATGAAGATTACTCTGCGATTTCGAATTTGTCAGTTTCGGCTTGTCGGATCTGAATCTCAAAGTTCCTAATGTGAGATTGCTTCTAAGTGATGCGGCCAATACTGTGATCCTGTCCGTCAACGTCTTCAAAGCTTCTGCTCCCTGTTTTTGCGTCAATGATCTCTTCAGTGTCATCCAGTCATTAGCCGACTTAGCTAACTTTTCCAGTGCCTGATAGTAAGGTGTCTCTGAGATTGACGTGGTAGGGCCTCCAAATCCAGGTGTGACATCTGGGCAACTAGACCCTTTCTTCTTGATCTTCACTCTGGGTCTGCTGTCACAATCCTCCCTTCTTTGTTCCGCGGTTAGCACGTCCCTTTCTAAGTTCCTGGAATCTAAATTTAATTTGGATTTTACATTTTTGGACATTCATGATATAACGGTTTTCAATATAACGGTTTTTTCTTCTATAACGGTTTTCAATATTTTCGGAGTTTTCCTCCAGTTGCATCACTCCTAATTTCCTTTTGATGGTCTGAATAATTCTTTCAACTAGGCCACAACCTCGGTGGTCGCCTACTGCGCAGAAAATGTGTTTAATCCCCTTAGCGACGCAAAAAAGTTTGACTGCATTGTTTTTAAAACATGAATGTTGGTCTGTCCTAATCGATTTTGGGATAGAATGAATAGTGACATAGTCCTTTAGAAATTTCAAGATCTTTTTGGCACCTGTTGTTCTGGTTAACAGAATTGAAGGGTATTTAGAGTAGCGGTCGATAGCTGTGACATTCGACCAGGATGGCCAAAATGCAATCTCTGCAGACTTCGAAATTTTAGCAGTGAACCTTCCGAGTTAATGATTTTGAAGGATTAACGACGTTATTCGGATGATTAGCAGAACGGTGAAGGTCAGGATATTCCCGTATTTTAAAATTTTAAATTTTCGAAGTGATGACGTAACATTTCTGAGAAATGCTGAAACGGCCATTTTAACAAAAAACGAGAGAGAAAACACAACAACATTAGTTGCGCTGACGATAACAACGATAATCGTGATTGAAAAACAGCAGCAGATTGCAGGAATAGCAGAGAACGTTCCGAGTTGCAACTATTGTGCTGCTACAATAGTTGCAAGGCCGTTGCGAGCAACGGTGAAGGGTGAGAAACCAGCCTTCCGGATTAGGAGGAAATCAAGATTAGCGAGCTTGATTCACCGGATTCAAGAATCCGGAAGGGTCTCGGGACGGAAAACTTTTATTGACTCATACGAACTTTTAGCTTCCTGTCATGTCCTGACTTGAATTTAATTAATATTTGGATTCATTTTGATAAGGATGAGAAGCTAGGAGTTGGGGGGAAAGGGTTGATCCATCTTCGATGGAGATGATGATTTTTATCTACTGAACAAAAACAATAGTAATATAATAAATAGTAGCCCTGTTTTTAGGAGTGACCTCGTGGTCTGGGGATACTGAGACCCAGCCATGAGCTCACTATTTGCATGTAATTAAGTTAATTTGAGCGTTCTGGTCGAAGCCGGAGAACAGTAACGTTTTTGTCGACCCGATGTTAGAAAGACCACCGAAAAGTACTGGCTTGGTAGAGACGGTGAAAAGCATGCAAAGCTCTGTTTAGACGTTAGCCAGTCGTCTTAAGACTTAGTTTTGTTATCCGTCGATATGTATCTTCCGGGCGAATGTTACATACATGTTTTTATGGCGCTCCTGGGTGTTATTCTTTCTAACATCATGACCGGCAGAACCGTTGACGAGCACTCCGCGCCGAGCGGATGCTCACATTAACGCCCTTAATAGGCCTAAACCGCCGGGGTGGAAGGGTAGTTCGGAACGCGGAAGCCTTCCGGATTACCGTGAATAGTTTTTTAACCTAGTTAAGACCGAAAATTCACGAACCAGGAAGGGTGGGGGGAATCGCGAACCCCTCATCCCCTGAGTGGTTTGTGACCAAAAACACTTAAAGATATAAGTAAAACCAAACAAAAAGTAGTATAGTACCCAAGAAAAACAAAAAACATAAAAAATAACCGAAAAAACCAAAAACAGTAAAAAAGTAAAAAATCAGTAGAAATCATCCCCCCAGACAAGATGTGATCCAACCCCCCCGTTTGTTGCTGATAGATATATTGTTGTTACAGGCATTTATATCAGTCAGGATCGTTACGATCAGTTTTGTAGCCCGTTTGTGAGGCTTGTACTGTAGGGTTATTTGAGCATTTAAGCACGTTAATGATAAATTGCGCTCAATCCGGAAGGGTCAGCTGATTTGCGCTCAATTCGGAAGGGTCTTGGGTGAAGACCGATCCGGCAAGCAGTACAAGGAGCAACAAGAAGGGGCTCAACGACAACAACAATCGACTGTTGGGTATCGTTAACATGTTTTGTAGCCCTTTTGGTACAAAAAGTAAAATAGTAACCTGTGGGGGGCTCGTCAGTGCTGCACTGTAGTCACCCTTCACCGAACTGCGAATATCCGAGTTAAGCACCTTAATTCGGATATTGAGGAAACCCTGAGGGGTATATTATTACTAATATTATTATTTATATAGCCTATATTAATAGTCTTATATCGTTTTTCAGTGAAAAACAACGAAAACAGACCGGTTTTTAGGGTCAAAATAGCGATATTTTGATCCCCCCACAAGTCGCGATTTTTGAGATATCGATATTTTTTGAAACGGAAAAAAGCGCTAAGTTAGTGTGTTACATCGTAACTGCACTACCATAATAGATAGAACCGGTTAAGTTTAGTTCGGAAGTGGTTGGAACTATTTTGGAACCAAAAACCGAATTTTCGTGATTTTTGAGAAAACGGAACACTATAAATTTAGAAAATTTTTTGAAATTTTTGAGTTACGACAGTAAAATTAGTTGTTCGGACAACGTCCACTAGTGAATCTACGAGTTTTAAAACCCGCTACCCGAAAGCCTTCCGGGTTGCAGAGAAATCGAACATAACGTGTTTGATTTGGTGGATTCATCAATCCGGAGGGGTCCAGGTAGCATCGTTTTTCGCAAATTTTTTCTACAAAAGCGTTTTAGATCGGGTCTTTTGCATTGAACGAGAAGAGTATAGGCCTTCTGAGCTCGGATCAATAATTTTTAGGTCAAAAGGACCAGAATTGCGGAAAAAGTTAAGTGGAGCCTATAAGCGAGAAATTTTTTGAGTTTGCAAGAAAGACGTTTTAGTTAATAACTTTGGAACTACTGAGCATATTGAGTTGATCTTGGTACCAATAGATCAGAAATTAGCTGAGCTTACTGATAGGGTCAGAAATTTTTTGGAAAAGTAAGCGTGGAAATTTTATCGAGATTGTTTTTAGCAAATTACACAAATCCGGAGGGGTACA